TTTTTTTTTTTTTTTTTTTCTTCAGATAACAGAGCCTCTTGGCTCTGGCTCCTACCAAATGCATTTCCTCGTTCTGGATGTTTTCGTACTTTTTGTGTCTGAGTGAGCACCTTTACCAAGTGCTAAACAGTCGGTTGTAGGTTGTTTGGAGTGCCGGCAGGACTCTTAGGGGGGCTGCTGTGTCTGTGATATCTGTGGTGCATATGGTCTATCAGTGATGAGAGATGTCTGTCGCAGTGTCTTCCTGGCTCAGCGGGTGGTGGGAACCAACAGTTTGCATGGTTCACTCGTCATGTGAGTAGGTGATGTGCTGCTGTGCATCGTGTCGGATGTGTAGACTGCCTTGTCTGTGCTCCGGCGCTGCCTTGCTGCTTGCTTCACATGACATTCCTTGCAGCTGCGGTGTTCACTGTGTGCTGTGGCTGCGATCTTGGTGCTGCCTTGTGCTTCGCTGCACTGCTGCATTTCTGCCTATCCACCTGTATAGATTGGCTGCTTTGTTGGTGTTGCCTTGTGCTTCACTGCGCTGTTGTCGTGCTGGTTGTCCACGTGTGCTGTTGTTCATGCAGTTAGATTTGGTGTTCTGCAGTTGGGTGGCCCTGGCAGCATTGCCTGGTGCTTCACTGTTTGCCATGTTCCGCTTGTGGACAGGCTGCCTTCAACAAGGTTCAAAGGGCTTGTTCATGACCCAAACCATTAATAAGGGGATTCCACAGATTTTTGATGGCTCAGCCTCCTGATGAGCTGGTGCAACTCCGATGAAACAATCTTTCATCATCAGTTTTTGCTTTTCTTGTTTTCATGGCACTTGTTTTTTTTTTTTTTCTCTCTATGCTTGTTGTCTTTTACACATGTGTCCTCTGCCCTCCTGCTTCCCCCATGCCCTCCGGCCTATGTGTTGCCTTATTGTCTTTTGTTTACTGTTCTGTCCACTCAAGGACACCCGGTTAATGGAAGGCCCAAAATTCGCCGAAACAGGCAAAAAAAAACTATGTGGTTTTTCGCCGCAGCACTACAAGCAATGTGGTCGAAAAGTTTGCGAACAAACTATGCAGGCTCATAGTACAAACATCAAAAACCGAAACAGGCAAAAAAAAAACGGAAAAAAAAACCTTAAAAGCACTATAAATTTAGTATAAAACCCTATTTGGAGTAGCTTTCGGAGTTCGCGAAATTTGTTTCCGAATTCGGTGTTTTCGCCAACTTTTTCATTACTTGTCCAAATACGCCGAAACTGAATACAGATATATTTTGCCCAGGATCTGATCCGACATTTCTGTGGCAGACATTGATTGGACATTCGGCAGGGAGACTATTTCTGGACTTCGTTATCGCGATCCTGGTCTTCTCCCTCGCCTCCATCTTCATCTCGCCTCTCCCTTCATCTCTCATCCGTGGTATCTCACGCATGTGCGTGTGCAAGGAGGGACCTTTCTTCTGTGTATGCAGTCCCTCCTCCCTCTCTCACATGTGTGGTGTATGATGGGATGTCGCATCAGTCTCTGACAGGTCAGGACATATCTTTGAGTCTTCCGCTGCGCTACATTGTGCTATTTTCGTATGTATCTGGGCGTACATGGCTTGTTGATGCTTTGCTGACACTGCATTGTCCATTCGAGTCCTTTTCGTCACTTTGCGGATCCTTGGCTCCCCATACATTGCTCGACTGAGCATGTATCATTATCCCTGTCTTAGAGATTCTGTCATTGACAGGGAGGCACAGAGTGATCTTTACGAGAAAACAATAAAATATGTGAAGTGGGAGTGTGGCTAAATGGGCCCATCGAAGAACACTGCTTTCACACACAGCAGTGCCATGATTTCGGGAAAAGATACACAGAAAATTCCCATCCCGGAATAAGTTGAACCGCAGAAATACCAAGAGTTGTGTGTCAATCTGTGATGCCTTTGCATGGGCAAAGAAGGGAAGAAAGGAACAATCAAAGGAGAGAAAGAAGGAACGAAGCAAAGATAGGTGACAGTAAGTCGCAGTTTTCTTCAAAAATAAATAAAGAAAGGAACAATCAAAGTAGAGAAAGAAGGAATGAAGCGAAGATAGGCGACAGTAAGTCGAGGTTTTCTTCAAAAATAATAAATAAAAAACAAAAGAGGAGGAAACAAAGGAGGATGAAATAGAGAAGTAATGAACTAAAGAAAGAGGGCAGAAAGCCAGAGAGAGAGAGAGAGAGAGAGAGAGAGAGAGAGAGAGAGAGAGAGAGAGAGAGAGAGAGAGGGACGAAAAAGAAAAAGAAGAGAAAGAAAAAACGAAAGAGACAAAGAAAGAAGAAATGAAAGAAGAGCAACAGCAACATTGCAATTGCTTACCTACGTAGTGGAGGAGTAAGGGGTGATTTGTGTATGAAATGAAAGAAGAGCAACAGCAACATTGCAATTGCTTACCTACGTAGTGGAGGAGTAAGGGGTGATTTGTGTATGAGTCTTTGTTGAGGGAGACGTCGACAAGAGCATCTGACAGATGACCGGCAGAAGGAGGAGGGCATGTAAGGGTGTTCAGCTCTGTCCCAAGCGAAGCTGGTACAACGTCGGTTCCTGTGATGTTTGCAGCTTCTGGCCGGTCAGGTGAGGCAGTGCCTGCTTCTGTCTGCACGAACCGGCACACCAAAGTGTCCAAGTAGTCTAAGCTCTTCTTATACTTGATCGTCAATTGTGGTATCTTTTCTCGAACGCCCAGCCATGGTGGGAACAGGCTGACAAGATTGATCGGCCAATCTGAAAGCATCCAGAAGCATAAGGTCACACTTGTCAGCCAAAATCTCGATGGATGCACATGAGGACACGTGTGCACAAATGCACAGGTGGACAAATATGGACACATGGAAAACAGTTGCTCTAAAAGACCAAGTTAAAAGGGGGAGGAGGCCGCCATTGCCCTTTCTTCTTCCTTTTGGTGACCCACTTGCCGCCGCCAAGATTGGGGGACATCCAGCTAGAACTCAAACTGTTGAAATACAGACCTGAGTTCGAATCTCGCTGGAACTATTTCAAAATTTGAATGAATTAATGAATTACCTGGGGCCAGTCAGCTCCACGATGATATCTCAAGGTCGTCACCATTTTAGGAAAAACGAGAGAACTCAAGATTACGCAGATGACATCTTGTTAATCATTTTTATTTTTGTTTTCTGCGTCGAGTCATCGACATTAAAACAAAAAAAGAGCTTTTTGAGCAAGTGGCATTCAGGAGGTCGTGGGTTCAATCCCCATTGGCCTCAAGTACCTTCCTGGGCATGCTTGGCACCCGCCACCTAGAGATAGACCACTGGATCCCCCGATCGGCACGGAGCAGAGTCTGCTGATGTTCGTAGAGGAGGGGACCACCACCTGAGGGGAGGCACAGGGATTGGTCCTGTTGGCATGGTCCCTGATGCTACCGCTGGTGGTCCCCTACCTAGCCGGTATCGCCCACCTGCAGGTCGGGAGCAGCCCCCGCATGTTCTCTCGTGAACACAGTTCTGGCTGCTACGGGGTTCCCCGTATGCCTACAATTAGGAGTAGTGGTAGGTAGGTAGTGTGAGGTGAAATTGAGAGAAGAATATAGCTTTCAATTTTAAAACGAAAAAAAAAAGGAAAAAAAAAGTGCTTTTTGAGCAACGAAGCAGAGTATAGAATCTGTAGATTGATTTGCACACCATTGTGAAGCTCCAGTAGTGAATTAGTGCAGCGTGGTCCGGCTAGTCCCTCAGGGCTATCAAACCCCTGGAGAATTGGGATGTGAAGATAGCCGATGCTCTCTGGTTCTTTGCAAGACATACAAGGAGGGGTGGTTGATATGGGATAATGTGGATTAAGAAAAAATGTAATACGCGTAGCCTCTAATTCCGGTGGACCAATAGTAGGTCCCTCGGACAAGTCAGTACAAACCCAATGCTGGTACTCCATGTTTGACTGGGACAGCTCGGTACACACCCCGAGGACCAGTACTTCCGAGCCTCTTTTTGCCATGCACTGCATGCCAAGCTTTGCCGAACCACCAGCGGCACACTTTTTTTCACTTTTTCACTTTTTTGCCGTCTTACCAGAGTGGCTCGGGACCACTTGTCCAGCCAGGCCAAAAATGAATTTAAAATAAAATGTAATGACCCGCCAAAAACACAGACTGAGAACACTGCTGATTTCTGGGATTTGTCACTGGAATGAATGCCTTGCTGTGATTCCCGCATTCTGCTGTGGTTCTAAGTCTGTGTGTGGGCGTGCCTGCTGGTTTGCATGCCTGTCTGAGTGTTTGCCGGTTGTGCGTGTGCGTGCCTGCTGGTTTGCATGCCTGTCTGAGTGCTCGCCGGTTGGGTATGTGTGTGTGACCCGCAAGGGTACTTGTTGGTTGCAAGGCCCCATCGGGCCGGTACTTACCTGTGGCCGTGACTGTGAGGGTTGCAGGGGGGTAAACACGCCGGTAGCTGGGGGTAGGCCCACGGCACTTAGAGCAGCTGGGGGAAAACACTCAAGTAGCAGGTAGGCCGAGCAGAAGAAGACAAAAAGTTGGCATTTTTAAAGGCCCAGTAGCGGTAGGTTAGAGGTAGGCCGGTACCAGTCCAAGTAGCCCGGGTCTAGGGCCTGTGCGGACAATAACAGAGCCTGCAATGATGTTTCCCTCCGAAAGGGAGGAGGTACTGGTTGCTGGGAGGCCACTCGGCCTAGGAAGTCACCGCCCAGGAGGCCGGTAGGCCGCTATATCTTCAGGAAGAGCGAAGAGCTCTTCCTCATTTGCAGTATGCAAGGATTGGCGACATGCTGCTGGAGCGCTAGCGCTGGTCTGTTACAGCGCTGGGTGGAGGTGAAGGTAGCTGGGCGCTCAGCCTGGCTATGGCGAGCAGCCCAGTGTGAGGAGGAGGAAGAAGGAGGCTGAGGGGGAGAGTGGCGAGGCACGTGCCTGGCTATGGCAGACACCATCTTCATCACCTGGTTGGGCGCTGCATCTGGAAGGCCCCGGTTGGGGTAGTGCGGCACCTGGGGGAGCTCGAGGCAGAGGCAGGTGTAGCGGACCAAGCCAGCAGCGGCATAGCTGCTTTGAGTGGTCCTTTGGGCATCAGGGCCAGGCCCTCATTAGTCCGCCATAGCCTATGCTTGAGAGAGGAGGCTGAAGGAGGGAAGCCATAGCTATGGTGGACTGGTTGTTGTTGTTGTTGTTGTTGTTGTTGTTGTTGTTGTTGAGTTGAGTCAGCAGTAAGAGGGAACTTCTGATATTGATTCTGGTTCATCCATTCATTGTTATTATTATTATTGAGTGAAGAATAAGATTGGTGAAGTGAAGGAGGAGGAGGAAGGTGGAGAGAGAGAAGGGGGAATTGTCATTGGTCTTGCTGGTGTCCTTCTTCTTCTTCTTCTTCTTCTTCTTCTTCTTCTTCTTCTTCTTCTTCTTCTTTACCTCTCCTCTGGTCTTTATCTCTTTGCAAGTGCTTTCATTTCTTTCGCAATTGGGTGGCATTGTCTTTCATTGTGAATTTGCACTTGGGAAATGACCAGGATCGTAACAATAATAATAATAATAATAATAATAATAATAATAATAATAATAAATTAATAATACAATAGAAGTTTGAGGAAAAACATGAGCATGAAACAAACAGAGAAACCAACCGTGCTGAGCAGACTTTTCCTTTTTTTCTTTTCAGTGCTGCCTCTTCAGGCTTGAATAGCCCGCCAGATACTCAATCAACTGGGGGCGCTTCTCGGACCTGCTGACGATCCGATTGGAAGCAGGATCACGACCAGACTTGGTCTTTTCTTCCTTCTTTTCTTTGATTGATGCGCTCATTGCATTGCAGGACTTCAATGGGGTCTGCTTCGTTATTGTTTCTGCCTGCAGTTCAGGCTTTGGGAAACTGGCATTGTATAGAGGGTCTTCTGTTCTTAGTCTAGGTTCTTTAGACTTTGGAAACATGGCATTGTACAAGGGTACAAGGGTGTGGTGTACATTGGGATTGCTGTTCCTTTCATTCCTCTCACTCCTTTCATTCCCAGTAAATAGTTGTTAGTGATACGATAGGATAAGCTTTTTAATTTAATTTTTAGTCTCACTAGCTCTCTCGGTTTTTGCATTCTCGGCATTTGCATACACAATCGGGTCTCCTCTTGCCGACAATGTGCCCTCTCCAAGAGAGGGGATTGCGGACAATGCCCTCTCCAAGAGAGGACACGGTAACATTTTGTCAAGGGACGAAGGGCCCGTTTCCCGGCTTGTACGTTTAAAAAAAAAAAAAAAAAAAAAAAAAAAAAAAAAAGTTGTTCAGTTTATTTTTGTGCGCAACATAAGTTTTAAAACCTTTTTTTCCGGATTTATTATTATTATTATTTTTTTTTTAATACAGGGACCTTCCCTGGCCCTTGCCCGATGGGGCTGCGTGGGCAACCAAAGTGACCCGCACGGCGTGGTTGGCAACACAGCTTTTTTCGCTCGCGCCCACTGCCATAATTGTGGTCCGGTAGCCCCGAGCCCCAATTTGCCTGGAGGACATTGTGAGAGAGAGATGGATGAACCACATGAATGTAGGCATTCCGGCACTGGCACATCAAATGGTTTACAATCATAAAGCATGTATTGTACGGTACTCTCTCT